ACTAGGAACAAGGACGCTACTAGGGGCTCCTGGCATCGCTACTAGGAGCAATGTTCGCTACTAGGAGCTCCTGGCCCTACTACTAACTAGGAACAAGGACGCTACTGGTAGCTCCTTACGCTAGTGTCATTTGGTGTCTTTTGTTTAGACCTTTTGACCTTTCTCTTTCCTTTAAGCGCAATGGCCTCCAACCTACTAGCGATGGCCTCCAGCGAGTTCCTTCCGTGTTTTCCTTTAGGTGTCCTTTTCCATTTTTTGGACCTTCCATTCTTCCTTCCTCCTTTTGTGAAGAAACCCGCATTTAGGGGACATGTCACCACATCGATATGGATGTATTTCGTTCACTACGTTATACTTTTGGCCCACTTTGTGCGGTTGGGTTCAAGACCTATGCCGCCATTCTCTTCGTGCGGTTGTTGCTTTGCGGAGGTGTTATCCTCCAATTTGATGCGGGCCATTGAGACGGCCTACCTCCAATTTGGGCATCGACCAGTGACCTTGGTAGATTGGATGATAGCCGGAGGCATACCAATTTCGGTTGCGCCTCGTGTCTGATCTTGAGGTACATGTGATCCCGCATATAGGACTGCACAAATGGCGTGGATGTAGCTGCCCGATCCTTTTTCATGGTGTGAGACTCGCATGAGGAGAAGCTCACCATGGCATCAAAAAGAACTTAATGCAATTGGGTAGCCGTTTTGGACCCTTGGACTGAAGTGGTGCATCCTTGTCATCGTGGCCGATGGACCGTCGGACATCAAAGCTTCTCTGACCAAATGCAACAAAGGATTCTTGAAACCAGCAACCGAACGGACGGGAATCCCTCCGGAGCCACTTGTCCTTCTACACAACCCCTTTATAAAAAAGACAAAAACGATTACTTAGTCGCCTCGACTTGCCAGTGTCTTTTGAAAAAACGAACACCACTAGTCCAGTAAATCAAGGATTGACTCGTCCAGACTCCAGACACCACTCGACTGAGGAATCATAGAAGACCTCGACAACGAGCCTCGCTTGCCAGAGGTGCCGTGCGCGTGCGTGGCGTGTGCGGCGGATAAAGTGCGCCATGGGAGTGTAGAGAGGGAGAGAGGGGGAGAGAGGAAGAGAGGACAAGACTGTGCAACACGGGCCACCATGAAGAACAATCAGGACTGCTCTCGCGCTGCGACAGTCAAATGACTGACAAAACTTTTGTGTTGGAGGAACCTGTGACCTGTGTGTCATTGTGTGTCATTGTCATCTCAGGCGCAGCTTGAGATTCTTCGGGACTTTTACCCTGACATCTCAGTGGACTATGGTGCCTTGTTCTTAAGCTGAGCGGCATTAACACCGCTCTTTGCAGGTGGCGTTTAAGAAAGAATGTCGTGCTAAAGGGAGCAAACAACGACATCCATGACATGTCTCTTCAACTCCCTTGTTTTCCTCCTTTCTCCTTTCCCTTCTCTCCCTACTCTTACTCTTACTCTCTCTCCCTCTCTCCTCCCACATCTGTCCAATGCTTTGTTGGTTGTCCCTAAAAGGCCCTAGTTCTAGACTCAACAGCAAAACCTTCTGTTGCAAAAAGAATGCACGTGACCATCAAACAGACGGCCGCTTGAGGTTGGCGCAACGATACAGCAGAGGTTTCCAACTGGGCGGCCTTTGAGGTGCCAGAGCAACACGTGCGCAAAGCACAGCTAGAGTCCTTTTTCGGAAAACAGAACAAGAATGACACCTCTCTGAAACGAACCTACTTGACACCAAGACTAGTAATTTTGTTTCAAGAATTTCGAGCAACCTGTTGTGGATTGCATGTATGTTTTTGCATGAGTTGAATGATTTAATTCGAGTCAACTTTTTGTTGGGTTTCTTTGCAGGGTCTCTTTGGGTTTGGAGTACCACACCCGGCAGGATTTTTTGAAATCGAAGCTCTTGCCAGAGCTGGTCCTTCTGCATCCCAAGAGCAGCTCCAGCTACCCGGTGAATTTAGTTTGCAAGATCCACAATGAGCCTGGGTCAAAAGCACTCGGGCAATGCATTGAAGTTGGCTAACCCTCGTGCCCGTGTCAATTGCAAGAAGTATTTACGAACATGCCCTGGCATCAAGCTTTGAAGGAAAACGGAATCTTCCTTACTTGATAATGGTTATGTCAAAATTATTGCTCTGTTATTGTGCTGAAGGCTATACTATTGGGATCGCCAGCCATTCCATTTTCCTCAAGAATGCCATTGGAAGATCCCCTGTGCCTCAGCGGCAACCTGGAAATGGACTTCCGAACTCCAGGATTTCCCTCTGACTACCAGGAGCAAAGACGCTACTAGGGGCTCCTGGCATCGCTACTAGGAACAAAGACGCTAATAGGGACTAGGGGCTCCTGGCATCGCTCGCCAAGGATCGCTCAAGAAGGCGTCTCTCGCCACGTGCGGTGTTTAAGACGTTCATCAAGAAACAAGACAAAAACAATGCCAAAACCGTCAAGTAGTAGAAAAGCAAAAATAGAAGATGCCTTTTGTTTTTCATGTGTTGTTATTATTATTACTTTCTTTACTTTACTTATAGTTGTTTCTTGTTTAATTCTTTTCATATAATAAGTGTATGCGTTACTTTCGTTTTAATTTGGACAGGTCAGAGAGGTCAGAGACAAGTCGTGAGAGCATTTGCACCTCGGTCACCAAGACAGCGCTTCTTTGAGAGCCACTTACTTCCTCCGTGTGGTTTCTCGTGTGGCTTGTGAGAGCTTGCTCAAGCGAGAAATCTTACAAGATTGTTTTGTCAAAGGGTTTGCTCCCGGACATAACTACCAATTCCAGTGACCAGTGGCAAACATGCCGCTGAATGGCCATAATTATACACTTGGCTTTGACAACAAGAACGTTGGAACTTGTGATATTCGAGGACCAACCTTGAATTCAGTCGAGTCAGAGGAGTTAATTGGCTATTAAGAAACTCACTCCGCGACAGGTTTCGGGGAAATGCCTGGCAATGGACGTGCTTTTCTTGGAAGGTTGCGCAAAGACGGTGTTTACATTCCAGGCATCACTAGCGTTTGCTCATCATCCCAGAGCTTGTCGACTGCCGAGGAAGCAAGCCCTTCAACAACCAAGTTCTAGAGATCTTCTACTACTTTGATAGTGCCACAGGCGAGGTACTAGAAGCAAGAAGGGTTCCTGGCATCGCTACTAGGAGCAAGGACGCTACTAGGGGCTCCTGGCCTTACTACTAGGAGCAAGAACCTACTAGGGGCTCCTGGCATCGCTACTAGGGGCAAAGACGCTACTAGGAACAAGAAGCTATTCGGAACAAAAGGCATCGCTACTACATTGATAGTGCAACAGGCGAGGCTCAGTCTCCAAGTCTCGTTTTCTCCTTGCTTCACAGAATCCTTCGCAGGTTTTCGCTAAACTGAAACGTTTCAGGTGAACTGGCCTTGGATACGGCTTCTGGGTGCAAGACTCTGGGTGTGAGCAAGGTGTGTTGGCCGCAGTTCAGAAGATTTGGCATCAGCAAACAAATTCAGTTGACATGGCAGTAGCAAAGAGACAGCAACTGCTTCACATGGATCTCGTAGTCTTTCCCGTTTTGCTCGAGGACTTGGCACATGGTGTTCCAGGTGACCCCAGCAGCACCTGTCGCGGTGTTTGCGTTGCGGAAACGTGTGATGACACATCTCACGTCCCAGGCCTTCCGCGACAGCTTTGCGAAGCTGACGTGGACCGCTGTGTTCCCTTGTGGAGAGAACTTCAGGGAAAGCCTGCACCTCTAAGGCCTCATGCTGAAACTCGCTACTAGGAGCAAGGACACTAGGGGCTCCTGGCATCGCTACTAGGAACAATGTCCGCTACTAGGGGCTCCTGGCATCCGGACAAGCATAAGATCCATGACAAGCCAATGACGCGAAGTTGATTTTGTGGGTTGCAAGTGGATCTTCATCATGTTTGTGTTGACCTGGGAAGAGTACTTGCTACAACTGAGCTGCTTGATTTGTTTGCAGGACTGGCAGACACTCCAAACTCACTTGAACCAAGTCTGAACCAACGGCAGTCCCTTGAGTCAATTTCAGGGTGTCCCAAGTGAGTTTCAGCGGTCCTTCGGTTGCATCGAGCCAAGCCCATCCCCGCCAGGCCTCCTGTTCTATCGCCGGAGCTTCGGAAGGAGCGACAGTTTTCAGTGCCATGCTCAGTCGGGCTCGGCCAAGCGGCAATCGTGGCTGTCTCAGGCAAACCTGGATGGTGTTGGACCATTGAAATTCTGAAGCGTGGAATGGACATCCCCGCTGTTCATGGTTTGCTTTTCTCGCTTCGCAACAAACTTTGACTCGAGCCAACTGTGTTCCAGTGACGCCAAGAGTGTGTCACGCGATCTAAGGGGCCATCGGACTCGGAGACCTATTCCATGCGAGGGGAGTTTCCGGAGGCCGGGTGATCTCAAAACGTCATGGTTCCGCACTGTGAGAGCTACAGGAAAACCAGTACATAGGAGAATGATTGGGGTGGAAACGACAACAACAGGATGTCCATCAGAAACAAGTGAAGCTGAACGTTTGAGGTTCAGAGCGCGGAGCAGAAGTGGGCTGAGAATTGGAACCAATGTGTCTATGGACAACTGCTCAGACCTTTTCACTTGTTGTCGCGTTGGGGTTTATGCAGAAAGGCGCATGCCATGATTGTTTCAGGTTCCACGCGTTCCGGATGCAGGGTCCCCAAAGTTATGGAGCTTCATGAGTTCATCTCAAGAAGTGACTATAGTAACAAGTGCCTTACTAGTAGTAACAAGTGCCACGCTACTAGTAACAAGTGCCTTACTAGTAGTAACCGGCACTTCAGGTCATTTGCCTGAATATCCAGACACCACCTCAAAGGAGGTTTGCGATTGTCTTTGAGATAAACTGGCCTTACGGCAGAGGGAGGAAAGGGCAAAAGAGTCGATGCGTCACCGGTAGCTCAAAGAAACAAGTTCACAAGAACGCTCTCAATCTAGTAGGTTGGAGGCCATCACTCTTGGGGTGGAGGCCATCGCAAGTAGACTTACTTGTACCTGAATGGCTCGTTTCCTTGAAGATCCAGAAGGATTGATCCTTATGCCTTTGGGCTCTCAGTCTCGGGAATCTCCCGAAGGAACACCTAAGTGCGGCACCTTGCCCAATAAACGTGAATTGCCATTGCGATGTTGAGGCATATGCCAGCATCACTGTGTTAGGGTGAACCCTGACAACCATTCTCGTTGAAATCATCGCTTTGTAGTATAAGAAAAGGATTGTAGTGAAGTAGGTCGATTCTCATGTCGTAAGAAACCTCAAGTAACAAGAATGAGCCTACACGCAAGCATGTCATGCCATGTCTAAGCTTTTTGAAAGCAAGCAGAAGCCAACAACAATATGTTTGAAAGGTCTTGAATAGGAACGCTCGTAAGGTGACCTCTCTCCCATGGCCGGCCCAGCAGCTGCGGGTTTGGCGTCTCTCCTGTCGAAGGTCCTCAGCGATGGCCAAAGCATATCGCCTCCTCAGGAGGTGGTAGGTGCTACAGTCCTCAACGAGTGCAGCACACTGGCGGAGGCGAAGAGTACTGCGAAGAGTGTGTTTCTAATAGCAAACATTGTTACTACTAGTAAGGCACTTGTTACTACTAGTAAGGCACCTGTTACTAGAAGCGATGCACTTGTTCCTAGTAGCGAACCTTGTTACTACCATGGGCAATTGACAGAGACGCAGATGTTGGTTCTACTGTAGCCTGGGTCGAACTGAATGTTATTGGATGGTCTGTACTACGAACCAAGTAGGCTCGCCTTAGGAACGGCCACGAACCTTTTCATACCTTTTCTACTCACAAGGATGCTTCTAAGACACAAATGGGAACACAGAGCTTCACAAGATAGCTGAAAAGTAGAAATGCCCACGGAGGCCTCTCTGGGCTCGTATCAGCGCAAGGGTGCGAGCGAGAAGACCGCTGCGGCCAATCCACCGGAACAGCTACGTTGGGGATACGCCTCCATCACGAAAACAGTGGTTGGGGTGGTGATGCAGATGCTCATGGCCAATAGCAGTCTACCTGAAATCAGCTGGAGACTTGGAAAAATTAGACAAGAAAGGCTCATAGAACATCAAATCCCACGAAAAACTCCTATGATTGTTCTGTTTGGGCTGGTTCATGGCTGGAAGCCAAGAATAGGCCACATTGCCAAAGTCTGGTCTCAGGAACGATACGCTCAGCCAGTGGTTGCCGGACTTGGCACCGGGCACAGACTTTGCAAATGCCTCGCTCCTGGACGTGGCCTCGCACACCGCTTGTCTTGTGGGTGAAGGTGCACCGTGGAGTGATGAGAAGACGCTACTAGTAACGAACACTGCTCCTAGTAGTAGGGCCAGGAGCCCCTAGTAGCGTCTTTGCTCCTAGCAGCGATGCCAGGAGCCCCTAGTAGCTTCTTGT